GCTGCAAGTGTGGAAGTTAACGTGATGAGTTAGCTACAGTGATATGAAGTGGCATTAGACTCCTTTGAAATATTTGCATGTGACTTGGTGTTGTGCTAGGATAGTGCAGTCATTATAGCGACTGGCTACTGGCTGGATGGCCGAGGGGTCGGAGTTTGATTCTCAATAGGGGCACAATTTTTCTCCTCTCCACATACTCCAGACCAGTTCTGGGCCCCACCCAGCCTCCTATCCCATGGGCACCACAGGCACTTTCCCCAGTGGTAAAGTTGCCCACTGACCTCTAACTGGTATTGATGTCAAGAATACGTGGATCTATACATCCACTCCCCAATAAGTCTTGATGGTGTAGATCATTAGTTAAGCACAGGGACTACTTTACCTGACTTAGTGTTGTGCAGTTTTATCTTTGTACAGGATATGAATAAGTTCACACTAGAAGATCAGGTGTTTTTATAAAACTCTCGCCTACTTGATGCCTTGTGTGCGATAAGTTGTATTTTGGTGTGGTGCTAATGATTGCCACTAGCTACAGCTGCTCTAAAGTGAAAGTAAAGCTATCCCTGTACCAGGCCGTGAATGCCCATAGGGTTGTGAGACGTTGAGGGTCCCACACTATCTAGAAAATCGGTTCAAAGATGGTAAGGTTGTCAGCATTATGCGCCGGTCGCGCTTTACTCCCCAGGAAAATTATTTAATTAATTCCTGATACTCATTTCTGTTGGAGGCTGAGTAAACCCCAGGGCTCAGTGCGGCTGGAAGGATTAGGTCAACTGAAAAAAATCCATTGACCTTATCGGGACTTGAACCCATGACCTTCTGGGTTGTAGCATAGCCCCTCAACCAACTAATATAACTATCACTTATTTGTTAGTCTACGTGTTTTTGACTGATGACTGCCTTATCAACTCGGTCACAGTTCACTCCTAACTCAAACTCCCAGCTCCTGACTGGCTTGTCCCGTTGGTCCTCATTATATAGCCTCAGGGCAGACATAATAGGAAACACCACTTCCAAAAACTCCTCTATTGTGTGTGTGTACTGATTGCCCAGCAATGTTTGCTTATTTAGCTGTTACCTAGCAGCGAACAATTTTTTCTGGCTTCATTATTCCAGCTTCCAGCCAATATGTCACAATATGTGTCCTTGAAGGAAACAGTCTGTATAGTAGTGTAGCTACAGTGTGACTCATGTCATTATTATTTTATCTAAATTTGTCCATTTCCATACTTTAACAAATTTATATTTATAGTATTAATATATTTGACTGATTTGACTACTTCGCCTGATGATGACCATTAAACATGTGATGTGGTGTGTAACAAGAAGTAAAAAACGAAAAGGGTTTTTTTTTAATGTGTGTGACAGTTAATCTTATCACTTAAAGTGAACACAAGAAAAATGTAATTTCATAAAAAAGAGACCTTAACAAAAACCATCTAACACAATTCAGAAACCCTCATTAACTGGTATTAGTTTTGTTCCATTCTAGAAGTTTGCATGTTGATACTGTCACATGTTGGGTGTATAACGCAACAAATAACTTCACGCCTTATTGGATATAGCGAATTGTATTGCTCATTCGCTCTTACAACCACACAATTTACAGATTCAACTTTACTGCCATTGGCAGTATCACAAATACTGGACTGCAATTCACTGGTGACTGACTCACTGCTGGCTAACTCGTAACACGTAACTCGTAACTGCTGACTTGAGAATTAACTTGTAACTCGAGAACCGCTGCCTTGAGAACTTGAGAATTAACTCTTAACTCGAGAACTGAGAACTGTCTTGAATAGTCTTCGCTGCTCCTTATTTAGCACCGTTCCAGACAACACAGAAAACAGCCATGTAATAGGCACCACTGTTGTCTGGCGCCATGTTGCTAGCAATGCTGTCGGGAGTTGTCTCTCACAACCACTGTTTACCCGCGTTGCATGGCGACCAGCGTGCTGGGACTCGGCTCGCTTCGGCTCCGCTTGGCGCGTCACCACTCCGGGGGGGGGGCATGCAGCTAGCGCGACACGTCACAATGCTATTAATGGCAAGAATGTGTAATGCATAAAGGGGCCTCAGTGGCACAATATTCACTCATTTCATGGAGATCAAAATTCATTGACATTTCTCATTTCATGCTATGTAGTCCCTGCAGTTGACTCTGCTAAGATTAAGAAATGAATGAATATTAAATATTTAAATGATTTCCCATTCATACATTTCATCTACCCATATTGGTGCTGTTGGCAAGAGGAAGTGCAGTATTCTCCAGTGGCATGATGCTTACACTAACTGCATGAAAATCAGTCGATCTGGGGGTGTAATACTGATGTCAAAAGATGCATAAACCCATACATCTTGTTAATAGGGTTCCAAAGCTAGCGAAAAGTTTGTTGCTGTTTATTTAACAACACTTTCTCCTCTCTAAGGTTTACATAGTGTACAATGTCAAATGGTGGAATGGACGTGAATGACTTGGGGAAAGCTTTCAAATAATTTAGACATGGCTTTTAATTTTACTCAAAGGAAAACTATGAAAATCCAAATCAGTGCAGCCAGTCTCTAGGCTATATAACGAATTTTTATTTGAATATGGCTAACCATCAGTTGGTGCAACAGTGACGAAACTGCTCACCAAATTACGAAATTGTAAAGATGCAAACTGTAATGTAGTTGCAGGGCAGAATATGTGTAATTAGTGGATTGTTTGAAGCATCTGTTCAGTGTGCAAGTTATTTCAGCACAGATCATATGTATGAACCACAGTCATGTTACCAGTAAGGGAAATACCATATTTACTGGCAAATAAGATGACCTTTTCAATTAAAAATTGAAGTTTGGGACTATATCTACCAGAGAACTATGAAACATTCTTTTAAAACTAAAATTCATTCGGATCTTGTAAAATTCTCTTTAGCAACATCTAACATTAGAAGTTCATTAACCCGTTGCCGTGGTTCGTCGTGTATGTTTCGTCAGGGATTTAAATCGTCTGGGGGGGTTCGACGTGTATGTTTCGTTCAGCTGCACACCTATGTTATAACGCCCATAATAATTGATGGTTTTGCTGTAGATTGTTAGATTTTTCGCTGGCCTGTTGTCAGTAGAACAGAGTATAAATAAGACACGACTTTATCTGTGCCAAGTCATCGTTACATATGCCTGTCTTGCAGCAAAGTTCCTGTGGTTCTGGCGAGCGGTTTCTAGCTGTACT